TCCTACCGCCCCCTTGATCATGACCCCACCCCTGAGCACCAAACCATCATCTCGCAAACCATCCACAACCTCATCACCTCAGGTGACCTCCCACCCACGGCCTCCAACCTCATCGTTCCCCAACCTCGCACTGCCCGCTTCTATCTCCTTCCCAAAATCCACAAACCTGAATGCCCTGGTCGACCCATTGTCTCCGCCTGCTCCTGCCCCACCGAACTGATCTCCAACTATCTCGACTCCATTTTCTCCCCCTTGGTCCAGGAACTCCCTACCTATGTCCGTGACACCACCCACGCCCTCCACCTCCTCCAGAACTTCCAATTCCCCGGTCCCCAACACCTCATCTTTACCATGGACGTCCAGTCCCTCTACACCTGCATTCCCCATGCAGATGGCCTTAAGGCCCTCCGCTTCTTCCTGTCCCGCAGGCCCGACCAGTCCCCCTCCACTGACACCCTTATCCGCTTAGCCGAGCTCGTCCTCACACTCAACAATTGCTTTTCTGATGAAGGGTCTAGGCCCGAAACGTCAGCCTCTCTGCTCCTATGATGCTGCTTGGCCTGCTGTGTTCATCCAGCCCTGCACCTTGTTGTCTCGGATTCTCCAGCATCTGCAGTTCTACTATCTCTCATTCACTATGACTCATTATTTTCTGCTTTTTAGCCTTTTTTTATATTCAATAATTTGTTAATCACTCTTTTATAGAGTCCTATATGGCCCTGAAGGAATCTATTAAGTCAATCTGGCCTATGTGAACTCTGCAAAGAGCAGTCCAGTTAGTCCCTTGCTCAAACCCATAGATCTGCAACTTGTTTTTTCTTTCTAGTGCCCATTGAATTTCCTTTTGAAATCGTTGATTAATCTCTGCTTTCACTATTTTCATAAGTAGTGTGTTACAGGCCATTGCCACTCTTGCATACAAATTTTGTCCTTACATCTCCTGCCTAAAACCTGATATTTGTTTCCTGTAGTCTTTGTGACATTAGTTAATGGGAGCAATTTTTCCTGCTTACCTTGTCTAAACCTGTCATAACTGTACTTCCAAGATGGTGGTGGCGGGGTCGGCAGCTTTTAACTTCTGACCACAGGGCTTGGCCCCTCACGGCTCATGCAGCAAGTTCTGCCGTATTGTCACAGCTTCTTTGTTGTCTTTCCAGCTTGGTAACATTTTTGTTTTTGGCTTGGTTCCCCTGGGGCGGCCACCTGATGTCCTACTGCGGGAGGCCACGTCACCAGGTGTCTTAATTCCTGCTCCATCTTGATATGGAGGTGCCGGTGTTGGACTGCGGTGGACTAGATCAAAAATCACGTGACACCAGGTTATAGTCCAACAGGTTTATTTGAAAACACTAGCTTTCTAAGCTCTGCTCCTTCCTCAGGTGTAGTTTGGCCGAGGAGGTATGCCGACATAAAATTTATAAGCAGAAAGGTAACAACTCTAAAAATGGCTCGCTGACCGCTTCCTGTTGAATCTTTAATCAGTTAGAAAGGAGATGCAGGTTTCTATTGATTCAAATGCAAATCCCTGAATTTCTTTCAAGTCATTGTCCTGAGATAATTAAAGGTTTTATCAGTGTATACAAGTGGTGACATATCAGGTCCGACAGTACATTTTAGGTGTGAGGCCTTGTTTAGAATCTGTGTTTTAACCTGGAGTCAGGTTGGTTTTAGTTCTAGGATTTGCATTTTAATCAATAGAAACCTGCATTCCTTTCTAACTGATTAAAGATTCAACAGGAGGCGGAGGGGGTGACATTATCCACTTTTCGCTGTAGCTAGGTACAAGTGACAGACAATGTGTTAAATAAATAAATGAGCTTGTACAGCTCATGTAAATCTTCCCTCCAGTTCCTTTGTTCCAGGGAAAGCAACCTCAGCTTCTCCAACCTAACATTGTAGCTAAAATTCCTCATCTCTGAACAATTCAGGTAAATTTCTTCTGCAGTCTCAATGACCCTTGCATCCTCCCTAGAATCTTTTGTTAAGCAGACTTTTTTTTTGTGGCCTAACCAGGGCGTTATGCATACTTCCTTAAAATGGTGTCAACAGGATCGACTGCATTCCCTTCATTAACGGCCACCTCCATTCTTCAAAATACTTCATAGAATTAAATGACATTAATCAACCATAGTAAACAAAATGCTCCTGTCAAGCTAAAAAGACGTGTTGTCTACTGCACAAATGAGTAATATCGTACTATATATGAGATTTGGTGTCACTGTGATGCCTGGTATGAAGGCTGTACATCCCAATAATTGGCAAACCATATCTGCGGCATGCCGACAATTGCTCAACCAATCTGTGCTTGCTCACCTCAGAATGTCCTGCCCAACATTGGGTGCGATTTTGCTAAATAATTTACTAAATAAACTCGACTGTGCTAAAAATTGAATCACAAACTAATTCGAGATTATTATTCTGGTTGACGGTGTGATTTTTTTGCATGTGCTAAAGAAACAGGACCCTGCTCTTTTTAGGTAGAGAGATAACAAGGTATACAGCTGGATGAACACAGCAGGCCAAGCAGCATCAGAGGAGCAGGAAAGCTGACGTTTCGGGCCTAGACCCTTCAGGACTGTTTTCATTGAGGAATGTGTTATGAATGTAGACTAAGTCAATATTTTTCACACTACCATCCCAATAATAACAGGTAATGCAGAGTTTATAGAAAGAGAGGAGCTTGGAACAATTATCACTAGATAAAAAGTACTGAGCAGATTTTTGGGATTGAAGGCAGACATGTTCCCAAGGCCTGATGGCCTAGGATCTTAACGGGGGTCGCAGCAGAGGTAATGAATCTATTAGTTATAACATTTCAATAATTCCTGGATGCAAGAAATGTTGCAGGGGATTGGAAAATGCTAATATAACACCCTTATTCAAAAATGTTGGGAGGCAGAAAGTAGGTGACTACAAACCAGTTGGTTTAACATGTGTTGTTGGGAGATTGTTAGAGTCCATTATTAATAAAATAATGATAGGACATTCGGGAAGTTTAAATGATGGTTCACTAATTTGCTAGATTTCATTGAAGATGTAACAAGCTATATAGGTAATGAGGAATGATGTAGATGTAGTATATCTGGACTTCCAGAAAAGGTTAGGGTAATACACTAGCTTGGATAGAGGATTGGCTAAGTAATAGAAAGTAGAGAGTCAGGATAAATGGTCTTTTTCTGGTTAGCCAGACATAACTAGTGGAATGCCACAGGTTTGGTCCTCGGCGGTCCAACTATTTACAATCTATTTGATTCACTTGGATAGCCAAATTTGCAGATGACACCTAAAGTAGGTGAGAAAGTAAATTTCAATGAGGAAACTTGAAAGGTTTACAAGGGTGTTGCCAGGGTTGGAGGGTTTGAGTTATAGGAACAAGCTGAATAGACTGTTTATTTTCCCTGGAGCTTGGGAGGTTGAGGGGTGACCTTATAGAGGTTTATAAAATCATGAGGGGCATGGATAGGGTAAATCGACAAGATATTTTCCCTGGGGTGGGGAAATCCAAAACTGGAGCGCATAGATTTAAGGTGAGAGGGGAAAGATTTAAAAGGGGCCTAAGAGGCAACTTTTTCATGCAGAGGGTGTTGCATGTATGGAATGAGCTGCCGGAGGAAGTGGTGGAGGTTGGCATAATTACAACATTTAAAAGGCATCTGGATGGGTATATGAATAGGAAGGATTTAGAGGGATATGGGCCAAATGCTGGCAAATGGGACTAGATTTATTTAGGATATCTGGTCAGCATGGATGAGTTGGACCAAAGGGTCCATTTCCATACTGTATGTCTCTATGACTCGAAATAAATTCATAAATTGATATGGATAGGTTAGGCGAATGAGCCAAATTTGGCTGATAATGTTTACTGTGGTTAAGTGTGAGGTTATCCATCTTAGTTGGAGGAAAAGCAAGGGAACTTATTGTCTAAATGGAGAAACGTCTGAGCGCTTCAGTGCGTGGGGATCTGGATGTAATCGTGCGTGAGTCTCAAAAAACTAACATGCAGGAATAGCAGGTAACGAGGAAGGCAAATGAATTTTTGGTATTTATTGTGCAAGGTTAAAAAGTATAAAAGTAGGGAAGTATTGCTGCAACTGTACAAGGCAGTAGCAAGACTGCACCAGGAGTATTGTGTACAATGTAGTCTCCTTACTTGAGGAGGGATGTAGTTGCATTGGTGGCATTTCAGAGGAGGTTCACAAAATTAATTCCAGAGATGAGGGGGACTGTCTTGTGAAACAAGTTTGAGCTGATTAGGTGTACACTCTCTGGATTTTAGAAGAATGAAAGGAGATGTAATTGCGGTATATAAGGCACTAAGGAGGATTAATAAAGTAGATGTAGAAAAGATGTTTCCTCATGGGGCAATATAGAACGAGAGGTCATGGTTTTAGGAAAATTGGTTGCAGATTTAAGACAGAGTTGAGAAATTAATTCTGAGTCCTGAATCTATGGAGTTCTTTACCCCAGAATACTGTGGATGTTGGGATATTGAGCAAGTATAAGGGGGAGAGAGACAGATTTTTAATTAGTAATGAATTGAAGGGTTCTAGAGAGCGGGCAGGAAAGTAGAGGGGTTAATGCCGAGATGAGATCAGTCATGATTGTATCAAATGGTGGAGCAGGCTTGAGGGATTAAATTGTCTACTTTTGTTCCTAGTTCTTAACGCCAGTCCCTGCTGCGCTCTGCATGACACACCCAGCCAAATCAGTGTCTACCTATTTGGACTGAGTTTAACAGGCTAGTTACATCTGCTGCATTTCCAGGCTAACCATTATCCAACCAATTAGCAGACTGTTCTCATGCTACATAAATTGATATTTTCTTTCTAAGTTTGATTTCTTGTTTTCTAAGCCTGATGAATGCAAGACAAAGAATTTGACTTATTAGGTGATTTGTTCCCACCAAGAAGTTTGCAGTTTTTCTCTTCTTTAATCTTCCCATTCTTAAAGCTCATTGTTCAGTGTGCATAATGTTGATTGTTGGTTTTGCTGTTTTTCAGGAATTGCAAGCAAAGCCAAAAAAGAACTGCAAAGGACAGTCAAAAGACTGGTGCAAGCCACGGCTGAGATTTTCTCATTGCCACTGGATGGTCAGTAAATGTAAATATTTCCATTATTTTTGGAGTTGAAATACATGGCAAGCATTTAACCTTTTAAAACATGAAGCAGTGATAATTGGGGTAAACTTGTTACATTAAATTGAACTAAGTGGTGAAACATATTGAGGTAGCACTATGAATTATTGCACAGTGGAGTTGCAATTATATTAGTACAGCGAATTGAAGTCACCATACGTTTGTTTATTTCACTTTGACTAAATGTGCAAAATGGTGAGATCTTGAATCTTAAAATGAATGGCAGTTAGGGTGGAGAATCTGTAAAATTGGGTTGGATCTACCCTGACGCTGGATGCGCATTTTATCAGAAGAGGTGGGAAGCCACATTGGGACAATACTCACTTTCTTTAAATCAGCGATTGACAGGCATTTAGGCTTGTCAATGAGATAATAAACTGCAATTTTGAATTTATTGATAAGCATGATAAGAATGTTGAAGCCTTGGCAACTTTTAAAGAGTGACAACAGGTAACACCTGTTGTCATTGTTGAACTTGACAGCTGAGGAATGAGACTTTATTTTTACAATCATTGCAGGAGTTGGGCAGTCATTGATTTATGATACAGGCCTCATTGATAAACACACTGCCAAATTCACAATGTTACCAGAGAGGGGAGGTTGGGGGCTTGTGAGTTGGTCAACAGTGCAATAACAACTAGCAGGATGTGCAGCGATATCTAAGTGCCATGGACATTGTTCAGGAGGAATGTACAGTAGGGAGGACAACCTGAGAGGGGAAGATTTGTGTATACACTGATTGGGACAATAGAAACCTTCTGTTTATCTGTACAGGAAGCAGCAGAAGAACCCAAAGCAGATTGCACGCAAGCACAAGTGTGGAGTGAAAAGTAATGTGTGGGCAGCGTAGACAGCGAATGAATGAGCTACATGCAGATGTTAGATTAACTGTGTAGTCAAAGAATGTGTCTCCCTCTCTGACTGATCTTTGTGGCATAATGATGGAGGACATGAACTGTATTTGTGGTCATCTGAGGTCAGTAATCATAGAAACTAGGAGCAGGAGTGCATGATTTGGCCGTTCATGCCTGCTCTGTCATTCAGAATGATCGTAGCTGATCCTCTATCTCAATGCTGTATTCCTGTTTTCTCTCCAAGCCCTTGATGCTTTTAATATCTAAAAACCTTTAGATGAATATTGTGGCAATGCTGTCACTTTAAGAGGTTATCTTGTACTTTTATTTTGAAGAGAGGTTGTAAGGCAGAAGCTCTGAACTGGGTACTTAAGATGACTTTGGGCGGCACGGTGGCTCAGTGGTTAGCACTGCTGCCTCGTAGCACCAGGGACCCGGGTTTGATTCCACCCTCGGGCGACTGTCTATGTGGAGTTTGCACATTCTCCCTGTGTCTGCGTAGGTTTCCTCCGGGTGCTCCGGTTTCCTCCGACAATCCAAAAAATGTGCTTGGTCATGCTAAATTGCCTGTAGTGTTCAGGGATGTGTAGATGAGGTGGGTTATAGGGGGATGAGTCTGGGTGGGATGCTCCGAGGATCGGGGGTGGACTTGTTGGGTTGAAGGGCCTGTTTCCGCTCTGTGGGGATTCTATAATTCTATGATTCCAAACAGCTTGGGAGGCCTTGGGTTTGTTTTAACTTCGCGAAGGATGTGGCCAGCTCTCCCAGGTTTTCCGGTTTCGGTTTTTTTCAGTAACATCGGAAGGTATTGGGGTCTCAAAAGAGTTGAAAGCTTCAGGGAATATTTCCTAGCTGCTACTTCCTCTGAATTTTCTCTTGATGTTTTTTTCTCCTGGATTGGAGAACTGCATGTGAGAACCTGTGTCTGAATTTGCCTTCTTGCCGAGGGGTGTGTTTGAGATGTTACTATATTGGAACAGTTAATTAGTGATTGGCACTGTATCTATTGTTAGGTTAAGTTTTCCAGGAGTTAAATTATTGTAAATTCCTTTTTCTTTTGTTTATATTTTAACTACAGTGTTTAAATAAGTTGTGTTTTTCATAATGGTGAGTAGTTTGACCACTCGCATTGCATCTGGAACATGGCACTTCACATTTCCCCTTAAAATAAGAAAATGTTAGGGTCCAGGCTATCTTCTTAAAATATTTTGAGGAGGTCTGGCATGGCCCACAATAAATTGTGGGGTCTTGTCAGTATTGAAACCTATAATTCCAGTTGGGTTTAGGATTGTTCGTCTCGGGTGTTGAATTCAGTTGGTTTAAGGAAATTTAAGGAAACCCCAGAAATTACAGGCCAGTTCGTCTTACTTCAGTGGTGGGAAAATTATTGGAAAGGGCTCTGAGAGATAGGATTTATGATCACTTGGATAGGCACAGTTTGATTTGTGAAAGTCGGCATGGATTTGTGAGGGGTAGACCATGCCTCACAAACCTATTTGAATTCTTTGAAGAGGTGACCAAACATGTGGATGAAGGTAGAGCAGTGGATGTGGTATACATGGATTTAAGTAAAACGTTTAATAAGGTTCCCCATGGTAGGCTCATGCAGAAAGTAAGGAGGCATGGGATAGGGGGAAATGTGGCAGATTGGATTCAGAATTGGCTGACCCTGAGAAGACAGGGTGGTAGTGGACGGAAAATATTCAACATGGTGCTCAGTTATGAGTAGTGTACCACAAGGATCTGTTCTGGGTACTCTTCTATTTGTGATTTTTGTAAATGATCTGGATGTAGGAGTGGAAGGGTGGATTAGTAAGTTCGCGGATGATACGCAGGTGGGTGGAGTTGTGGATAGTGCAGAGGGCTGTTCTCGGTTACAAAGGGACATTGATAGGATGCAGAGCTGGGCTGAGAAGTGGCAGATGGAGTTTAACCCTGAAAAGTGTGAGGGATGCTCCAGTTATACAAAACCCTGGTTCGGCCACATCTGGCGTATTGTGTCCAGTTCTGGTCACCTCATTACAGGAAAGATGTGGAAGTGTTGGAAAAGGTGCAGAGGAGATTTACCAGGATGTTGCCTGGAATGGAGGGAAGGTCTTGCGAGGAAAGGTTGAGAGAGTTAGGGCTTTTCTCTTTAGAACGACGAAGGATGAGAGGTGACTTGATAGAGGTGTACAAAATGATCAGAAGTATAGATAGAGTGGACAGCCAGATACTTTTTCTTAGGGTGGAGGTAGCTATTAGAAGGGGACCTAGTTTTAAAGTCAGTTGCGGTAGATATTGGGGAGGCGGTAGATACTGGGGAGACGTCAGAGGTGGTTCTTTTCTCAGAATGGTAGAGGCGTGGAATGCATTGCCGGAGAGGGTGGTGTTGTCAGCCTCATTAGGGGCATTTAAGCGGCTGTTAGATAGGCATATGGATGATAGTATAAGGTAGGGATGGAGGTTAGATACCTTAGGTTTAAGGTAAAAGTTTGGCACAGCATCGTGGGCCGAAAGACCTGTACTGTGCTGTACATTTCTATGTTCTATGTTCTATGTTCTATAAACAGGGTGTACCTTTTGTAGTAATGGGTCTTTTGGTCACTAGGAGTTTTCTGGAGGTGGAAGAAGTGACTTTGGGAGTTTTTCAAAAAGTGAGCAAGGCAAAGCTTTCAGAATTGGCAAACAAGCTGGTGTTGGCTTACCTAGGTCTCTGAGGAAAGGGGAGATAGTTGTGACAATTGAGCAGCATTTAAAACTGCCAGAAATGCCGTCAGAATCTTTGGAAATGGCTAAAATTCAATTGTAAATGAAGCAGGTTGAATTAGAGGTGAAAGAATAGCCCTGGCAGAACAAAGAAAAAGAAAAGGAAGTGAAACAATTTGAATTAAGATTAAAAGCAGAAGAAAAAGAGAAGGACAGGAAGGCCATAATAGGAAAAAGAGAGAGAAGTTGAACTTTGGAAGTTGGTAATGAGAGAGGAAAGTGGACTTTAAAGGGTGGGGGTGAACATAGAAGGAAGGCTTAGTGAGGACGAGCAAACTCCGGTTTGGGTGCGGCTCTTTGGTGTAGGGGTACGATTCTCGCTTAGGGTGTTGTACAGTGATGACATGTGAGAGGTCCCAGGTTCATCTCCCTGATGAGCCCAGGTTTCAGGATGGCACGGTGGCTCAGTGGTTAGCAATGCTGCCTCACAACGCCAGGAACCCGGGTTCGATTCCAGTGACTGTGCAAACTCCACACAGACATTCTCCCCGTGTCTACGTGGGTTTCCTCCTGATGCTCTGGTTTCCTCCCACAGTCCAACGATGTGCAGGCTAGGTGGATTGGCCATGCTAAATTGCCCGTAGTGTTCAGGGATGTCTAGATTAGGTGGGTTATGAGAATGGGTCCAGGTGGGATGCTCTGAGGGGCGGAGTGGACTTGTTGCGCCAAAGGGCCTGTTTCCACACTGTAGGGATTCTATGATTCTTGAAACTCATCGTAGCCAAAGGCTTGGTGGGGATCTGTGTAAATATGTCCAAGCATTATCTAAATTCGACAAGAAGGATGTGTAAGTCTTTTTCATTCGATTTGAGAAAGTGGCTAATCAAATGAAATGGTTGGTGAGGTATTTGTATCAATATCAGAGGAGGTATCTGTGGAGTATGAGGAGGTGAAATATGTCATCTTAAGTGCATATGAGCTTGTGCCAGAAGCCTACTGGCAATGTTTTAGGAATCTAAGAAGGGATCCTGGTCAAAAATATATTAAGTTTGAAAGGATCAAACAAAATAATTTTGATAGGTGGGCAAGGGCATTGAAAATAGATCAAATATGTGATGCTCTTAGAAAGACGATTATTCTGGAGGAGTTCAAAAATTTATTTCCTGAAGTAGTGAGAACTCGTGGAAGAGCAGAAAGTTGAAATGGCCGATGATTATGAGTTGTTCATAAATCAAAATTTGGCTTCCAACATCAATTTCAATTTGAGAGGGATAGAAATGTGGGAAAAGAGAAATCCTCAGGTGGTAAAGGAAAAGGAGATCTCATTAAAGATAGTAAAGATATTTTACCACAGGGTAAAAAGGAAACCCATGATGGGGAAAAAGAAGTAAAAAAGCTCAGGTGTTTTCACTG